CGAATGAACTTGAATTAGTGGACGTAACAAAAGGCTCTCCCAGTAGGCACAGGACTATTAAAACACGTCTTTTGAACGTTCAACAGACGTCCAAAACGTTCAAAAGACGTTAAAAACGTGTATAAGACGTTTAAAAGACGTCTTTTTCACGTAGGTGCCCACTGGGCTGGACCTAAGAAAACGTATCATCATAATACATTACTAAATCCATCTAACATAGATCACATAGCTTTCTCAAAGTATACGTCTCTTCTCTATTCCAAGGCTCCATCTTAGGTCCGTTGCTATTCTTAATCTATGTCAACGATCTATATAAAGCATCAAATACGATGTCTACTATTATGTTTGCAGACGACACCACTTTATTCTATTCTCACAGTAATATTATCTCTCTATTTCAAGTAGCAAATAATGAACTAGAAAAAATATCAAACTGGCTTTTCGCTAACAGCTTATCTTTAAACACTGATAAAACTAAGTTTTCCTTATTCCATTCTAAACGAAAGATTCAATCTTTTCCAAAATCCTTACCAATGCTATATATAAAAAACATCAATATTGAGCGCTTATTCACAAATAAATTACTTGACATTTTGATAGACGAAAACTTATCCTGGAGAGCTCATATAAATCATATTAGCAATAAAATCTCAAGAAGTATTGGCATCTTATATAAAACCAGACGAATCCTAGGCAAATCTACACTAACTCAACTATATTTTGCATTCATAAATAGTTATTTATCTTATGGCAATATTGTTTGGGGTAGTATAAATAAATCTAAATTTGTGCTTTAACATCAGTCAAAAAAAAAACGCCGAAGGTTTTCAAAAATATTTTCCATAAAACATTAAACGATACAACACGCGATCTACCGGAAGATTTAAAAAACCTTTACGTTCATCAAAACTTACGAGCTTTGCCATTTCCTATCGTGGACCAATGCTATGGAACCATTTTACAAGTCTGAGTGGTAAACTTAAAGAAGCCAATACCTCTCAAAAATTTAAAAAGAACATAATTGAACTTATTGCCAATCACGACTCTTTACATGATTTTTTCTAACAATACACGATTATTTCCAATTTTTATTATCAAAGGTTACTGATGAAAAGACTTAATCTTCTTCAGGTTCTCCGGTCTCGTAACTATTATAAATAATGAAATGTACTTGTATTTAATATTTCTAAATATTTTACGGAAATTATCTTTATTTGTAAATGGTTGCTTGACAAAAATTAAAAAAAAAAAAAAAAATTGTTTCGAAATTTCTTTTTTATCTCAAAACATGAGTTATCAATTAGCAGTATCGATTGAAGTTGAAATTATTGGACAATCTTCTCAAGAAAACAAACATAAAAACTCAGACAAGTACAGCATTCCAAATTATGCCTGGAATAACAATGATTTTTTACAATTATATAACAATTGCTTAAATACTAATTTCAACTTTCACAATTTTACGAATGACAAATACGACGAAGAACTTATCACAGCATATACTGTTATTACAAAATCGGCATCTGAAGCACTTAGTCAATATTTATCCATGAAAAAACTGACATTGCATCCAAAATCCTGGTGGACACCCGAATTAAGCCGTAGTAAAAATTCTTTCATTTTATTTTAAAAAATAGCGGGAAACTGGGTTCGTTAAAGACTTAAACTCGCAAATTTTTATTCGATACCGGACGGCACGAAAAAATGATCAAAATAAAAACCTGTACAAAAAATACATAATAATCAAAACGTTAAAAAAAACAAATACAAAATTTTTTTTGGAAAACTTTCAGAAATACAAAAAAAGATGCAAACTCGAAATTGTATTTCATAAATAATAATATGAAGACTCGATCACGAAAGAATATTCCTACAGTTTTGAAAATTGATTAAACTCTAAAGCAATCACATACACCTATACAAATTTAAAAATTCCACCTTGCACAAAATTCGACGAGGTAATAATATTGGATGAAAATATAAAAAAACGGTTATTTCTTGCCTTAAACTAAACAAATCCAAGGACGCCTTCGAAATATCAGTTGAATATTTCAAGAATGCAAGCTGTGAAGCACTAACAGAATGGTTTTTGGCAGAAAATTTTTAACTTTTCTATTAATCATGGACAGACCCCAAAATTGATGTTTCCATCACTTATAATACCACTTGCTAAATCGTATAAAAATCCTTAACTGATCTAAATAACTACCGCGGCGTTAGCATCATTCTAATCTTTACAAAACTGATAAAATATCTTATCCTACTAATATGTCCAGAAACAAAAGAAACTCATCCTCTTCAATTCGGTTTCACTAAAAATAGCTCAACCCTACATGCTGAATTTGTTATTAGTGAAACAATTAAACACTACAACAACAACAACTCACCTGTCTATCTCTCTTCCCTAGATGCTGAAAAAGCGTCTGACAGCTGCAACTGGGACATTCTGTTTGTAAGACTGTGCAATGATAAAAAACTCCCTCTGTATATTATTAATACCATATCGTCATTATACTTTGAAAGCAGTGCTTCTGTTTCTTATCTAAATTGCACATCATATCCTTTCTGTCTAACGCAAGTAGTGAGACAGGGATCTATTCTCTCGCCACATTTGTATAACATTTATACTCAAAACCTACTAAAAACTTTACAAAACAAAAGCGTTGTAGGTACATCAATAAATGGAAAGTATACGGGTGTTGTAACACATGCTGATAACATTTTACTCCACCCTGTCTGGCCTACAAAAGTTTATTAATATATGTAATATGTACACACACAAAAACTGCATAAAATTGAATGCTGACAAAACTGAGTTTCTGCTCACCGGAAAAAAGAAAATTAAAACTGCACAATAACTTTCAACCACCAACAAATAAAACTTCATGATAAACTTAGTCATCTAGGCTTTACATGGGATACAAAAAGTTCACTTTTTGCCACACTTAATAAACCAAACATTGATCACCGAATACCAAATTTCCGGACGGTAATCCAAACCTTAATTCAATCAGGAATCCGTTTTGCTCACCCAAACTCCATTGTTCAGTTATATAAAAATTTAGCTGTTTCAACACTAACGTATGGTATTGAGCTGTGTGAACATAAAAAAATGTTAATGCAAAAGCTTGATATAGTTAGAAGAAATGCACTTAAGTCACTCCTCGATGTTTCAAAACATAGCAAAAATTATATTCATACATTTTACTGAAGATATATCAACTATTATACAACAAAACAAGTTAACCTTATTTATTCGCCTGAAGAACAATAAAATGATATATGATATTATTAAGTCGCACCTGAAAAACAAAACAGCCCCACAACATTTTTTAGATATTATCAAAGGCTTGTGCAATAATCATGAACTTAATCTGGAGACAATAATGGAAAGTAAAAAAAAAATATACATCATTGGCCTCAAAAATTTAACTCTTGAGACTGATCTTCAAACTCTAAAATGTGCAGTTGAGTGCTGGAACTTAAAAGAGCAGAGAACTATCTTCAAGGACATTCTTGAAAAACATACTTTTAGATGATCACGTTAAATGAAAAAGAATAAAAATAATAATTTCAAGTTTTTTTATATTTATCTTGTATGAAACTCATAATTTACCTTACTTGTATAGTGGGTGTTTAATAAATCTAAATAAATAAATAAATATAAATACCACATAAAATATTAATGGTTTCACCGTTATGGAAACGTTGTATTATATTATAATAACTTTCCGTAAGGAATGTGAAACAACTGGTTCTTATTTTAGAATTATCATATTCTTATTATAGTAATTATCATATAAACCACTTTATTCTACACATCGGCTTCAGCTTTTGCCCTTTTTACAAATGGCAAACTATTGTTATAAACAAAAAAAAAAGACTTCACTTTTTGTCTAATAAAATGCCGCATGTTAGACATCTAGTTATCATTGGGTTAGACATTATTTGTTTGCGTGCACAACCATTTTTTTATTTATACGCGTATATACATTATTAATTGTTTTGACTATTTTACCTGAAAATCTATAGTATGCGACATTTAAGTTTGACTTTAAAACCTCAAAAAACACGTGTTGAACTCGAGTAAAACTTTCCGCAATATACACGTGTTTTTGGTTTACGCCTCGATCGTGATAAAAACGTGTCTATACAGGTTTTAGTTTTGAAAAAGAAACTAGAAGTGTCGGTAGGGTATAACTATAAAATTATTTATAATATTTAGTTAATGATTTATTAGGATGGTGTCACAGATATTTGATCAAAGCAGTGAACAATAATATAATTTTAAATATAATATAAGTAATAATAAGTAAATACATACATTGAAACACATGGAGCTAAAAACGCTTTTAAATGAATTTAAAACAATTTACTTTTATCGATTTGCTTATAATTGCTTATAATTTGCTTATATTTAATTTACAATTTTATTTTTTGTTTTAATTTTTATATATACCGGTATTATCTTTTTCTGGATGATTTCGGAGTTCCGGATATTTCTTTAAAAATTTGTTTTTTTTGTATATGCAAATAATTTTATGGAAATACAAGTTAAAAGTTACTTTTTTGGTAACTCTTTCATCAAATAACAAAAACAGTAAAGGTATCGTTCATCAATTATTCTACGCTAAATTTAATTAATTTAGACCAATAATATATTATATAACTAGATGTCTAACTTCATTACGATAAGTAAAGCCGCCTTTTACAAATGGCGGAATAAATTTGTAAATAAATGTTTTTAATTTTATTTTCTTAAATGAAGTAAATATATTTTAAATTTAAACTTCTTATTTGTAGTATTTATCAACGGCAAAATAAATAAATAATTAAAAAAAAAAAACATCTTTATTAGACATAGTTTGTCATATATATGATTGCTTTGATTATCTAGACTGAATAGATGTTTATATTATCAAAATGGCGGAATACGCCATGCTTTCCTTTTAGTATAATATATCAGAACAATAAAGACATAAAACGGGTTGGCAAGAATATTAGAGCTCTCCATCGGAGAGATCTAACACACTACCCCCTTGAACAAAACGTTCAATAAACTATAAAACAAATTAAATACAAAATTAAAATTGTCCCATTAAGCGTCTTATTAGTATTCCGTTTCTTGATGCTATTCGTACAGGTCTTTCGTATATCGTATCAGAAAAATCATTACTTTCATCTACAGCATCGTTGCTGGCGTTTAGCTCTGTATCAGTTACTGTTTCGACTGACTTGACTTCTATAGGGTATAGCTTTTCGATAGGACGCTTAATATAATTTTGTTTGTTTTATCTGTTAAGACTTTTACTATTGCAGAACGAACTATGTTATCGCGTCCCGTAATCAGTGACACTACTTTTCCTAATCGCCATTTGTACCTTTTAATATCAAAGTGAATAACAACAATTTCTCCCAGTTCAATCGATCGACTTTTACTGGATCCCTGCTTGTGGAATTCTCTAAGATTAACTAGATATTCACTTGTAAATCTTACCCAAAAATGATCACGTATCAGTTTTAAATATTTCATTCGTTTAGTTAACTGAATCTTACTTTCAAGCTTGTCAAGATCTGCCCCTTTTGTTTCGTTAGGTGAAATGAGTCTTCGACCATGCATCAAATGGGAAGGGGTAAGAACTTCCTTAGTGTCTTCATGGTAAGCGTATGTTATTTGTCTTGAGTTGAGAAGACCCTCTATTTCACAAAGAATTGTTTGCAGCTCGTCATATCTGATGCTACTTCTAAACACAACCTTGAGTAGCGATTTTTTGACTGATTGCACTAGACGTTCCCAAAAACCACCCCAGCAGGGAGCAGCTTCAATAATATATTTCCAATCGATTCCCAACAACAAAAGCTCCTCGCTTAATTTAACTTCTTCATTCTTAAAACATGTGGCATTGTCTGATATTATAAGATTTGGAATTCCTCTTCTTCCAATAAAACGTTTTAAGCATAGAATAAATGATTTCGCAGATAAGTCAGGTACTAAGTCCAGGTGAATGGCTCTGGTGGTGGCGCAGGTAAATAACACTACGTGCACGGGATACATTTCATTAGAATTATCATCGAATATCGGTTTAACGTGCAATGGTCCTAAATAATCAACTCCAGTATGCTGGAAAGGAAAACTTGCAGTGACATGATAGTAAGGCAACGGTGGTGACACTTTAGATGTAAAAGCCTTCCCAAACAACCTTTTACAGAATGAACATTTGTTTATCAATGAGCGTACAAGCTTACGACCTCGTAGGATCCAGTATTTTAACCTTATTTGGCAGAGAGTTTCCTTTACACCTGCATGTAGAGTTCGTTTGTGAGCCTGACATGTTAATAATTCTGACAAATAAGATACACTTGGTAGCAAAATTGGGTGTTTAGCATTATAAGGCAGAATTGAATTTTGTAACCGTCCTTGTATGTATGTATGTATTTAGGTGCTCCCAGAAGTCCTTACGGTCTTATCATAGAGCACCGCGGGAGAGCATTTAACGGGAAGTTCACGCCTCCTTCCGTACCAATGTCACTTGTTAGGCTAAACTGTCGTCGAACCTCGGACCTCTGGATTCTGAGCCAGAACTCTAACCACTGCGCCACGGCTTTACAACGAACTACTTTATCCTCGTCGACGAAGAGACCTAAAGTGTTGTTCAGAATTTCCACTTTGTTAGAAAGGTCACACTGGTAGGTTCGGATCCAAAGAATTTCAGCTTTTCGAATATCCGCAATGCAAAGAGATTTTGTCTGATTATTGGCTTTATTTATAAGATGCTTAAGACTAATTATAAATTTTAACACATAAGCTGTAACTTTAAAAAGTTTGTGCAACGAACTGAATCGCTCAACGTTGATTACATTACGCATATTCAAGCTGTTGGTTTCAAGAGCTTCTTTTACTTCACTATTTTCTGTGCTGAATTTTGTAGGGTTTACATTTACGACCACGCTAAGATTTGATATTTCGTCAGTTTTACTTTTGTTGAATATATTGGATGGTTCTGCCGGCCAATATGAGAGATCTTGATAAAGAAACTCAGGTCCATCCATCCAATTTTCAAACCAATTACCAGATTTAAGGATTGAGAGGCCCCTTGAGGGCAGATCCGCTGGATTGATTTTACCAGGGCAGAATCTCCAGTGATTAGATGGAATGTTTTTCTTTATTTTCGTTATTCTATTTGTAATGAATTGGTTTCTGTTTGCAGAACTATTCTTTATCCAGCATAAAGCATCGATTGCATTGCTCCAACAGTAAATATTCTCTATTTTAAGGGTACTATTTAAAGACTCAATTACACATGCCATAAGTGAAGATAGCAGTAGACAAAAAGACAGTTCCAATTTAGAAATGGATATAGGTTTTAGCGGAGAGATCTTTGTTTTGCTGGCAATAAGTCTACCTAGAATTTGTGTATCAGGAGTTTGGGCAGTTATAAAAACTACAGCTGCGTATGCACTTTTGCTGGCATCACAAAAGCCATGTATAGTTATGTTAGTTAAGTTTTTTATTAAATGTTCTTTAAAGAAATAGCGATGCCACTCATACACAAGTTTACAAGATAATAACTGCATTAACTGATTCCACTCATTTTTTAACTCGTCATTTAGCTCCTTGTCCCAATCTTTTATTGTAGTGCATATTTTTTGAAAAATGAGCTTTAATGGTAAAATTAAGGTAGAAATGATTCCGATTGGGTCATATATAGATGCAATAATTTTTAGAACATTTCTCTTTGTGACTCTTTTATTTGTTCCAGCTTCATATTGTTTAGTTAGATTAATTGACAATTTGTCATGACCAGTGTCCCATGTGATGCCTAGGATTTTACTTTCCGTACTTGGGTGATCTTGTGGATTGAAAGATGATATATTTGATATAAGGCGACTGTTATTTGAACGCCATTTTCTAAGGTTTAACCCTGCTGTCTTTAGACGTGATTTTGTTTTGAGGCAAAATTCGAATACCTCATTTGATGTATCTGTTCCTGCAATGCTATCGTCAACATATAAATTTATTAAGAAATTGTTCACAAATTCTGGATTGCAATGTTTGTATTGATATAAATGTTTTATGATAGATACTAATAATAAGAATTGTGACGAGTTCATACCAAATAATACTCTAGTATAGCGATAAGAGATTGTTGTTGTTTACATTGTCAAACCACAAGAATCTCAAAAAGTCACGATCATTTTTGTTTACAGCAATGTTGAGAAATGCTTTTTCGATATCACGAGCTACTGCTATTTTGTAAGTCCCAAATCTTATAAGAATATCAATTAACATGGGAAGCAGGCAAGGACCCTATTCCAAACAATCGTTTAATGTAGGACTATTTGACGATGCATCAAAGACAATTCGTAATTTTATGATAGACTCTTCCTCTTTGATTACTGCGTGATGCGGAAGATATTGGACTTGTCCTACAAGTGGTGGAAAATCGGGGATTCTTTCTATAATTCCTTCATGTTCCTGCTGACGTGTAATCTCATTGTACTGTTGCAATAAGTTTGGATTTTTCTTGAGACGATTGTAAGTGGATAGCAATCTGAGTTTGCTTTTCTCATAATTATCTGGAATCTGTTTGCGTTCTTGTTTCCAAGGTAGAGGTACGGAATATCTCTTACCATTAAACTGGATTTTGTCATATAAATATTTTAAGTCAAAGGTTGTGTTTATTTCATTAATATCTTCTAATTCCCAGAATTTACCAAGACTGCCAAGATCGTCAGAATTAACTAAGATTGGTTCAGAAGATGTATGAAGAACAGATGCTATATTTACAGAAGCAGAATTAATTGATTTAACATTTCCATTAAGAGTCCAACCAAGAATTGTGTTTACTGCGGTTAGAGATTGGTTTGTTCTAATTAATTGCCCTGTTACAAAGTTCCAGTAGTAATTTGCACCTATTAATATGTCAATTTCTTTTCCATCTTTTAAATCATCAGCTATCGGTATATTGGCTAATTCGGTGTGCTGCAATTTTGCAAGGTCGATTCGTTGATTGATAATAGGAGAGCATATGATTGGTGTAACATATGCTTCGATTGTAGAATAATGATTGGTTTGGATGTTTTTAATTTTAATACTGACAAGGTCAAATTTTCGAGGCTTTTCACAGCTTTCTCCAAACACTTTTACATTTAGAATTTCGTTTCGAATAGTTTTGAGATTCAACTTCTTTCTTACATCAGATGTCACAAAGGACTTTTGAGAGCAATTATCAAATAACACTCTTGCAATAATTTTAGTTTTCTTTATTGAGTTGCTTGTGTCTGATATTTCAGTTTTTGCAGTTTGTAGGAGAATATTATCTTGACAACCAACAACATCGACTGAGGTGTCTGGTATGGTTTTATCTGAATTTGAGTTTACATAAGCTCCAGCATTGTTTTTTTTATCACAAATTGAAATATGAGGCTTACCATTACACTGAAAACAAATATTTTTCGAATAACAATTTTTTACAGAATGTCCTAATTTTAAACAGTTATAGCATTTATTTTTGGTTTGAATAATACGTTTTCTTGCAACAACATCTGTAACAACATTACACCGATTACTTGGATGCTTACCTTTACAAAATGAACAAGAAATGAGTTTAACTGATTTGGGTTGCCACTCTCTTGGTTTTACATATTTTTGTTGAGAGTGCAATGTTAATATGTATTTTGGAAAATGATCTTGATTTATGTCTAAGTTACTCATTCCTTTTTCCATAGATATACAACGCTCACGAGCTATAAGTTCCTCTCTGAAGCAGTTCATAAGGTCTATTATTTTCCACTTTCCTTGAGGCATCTTTCGTGTAATGTCGAGTTTAAAGTCTTTAGGCAATTTACTCACTATTACTGATACAAGTACTGGACCAAAATTCTCTGAGTTAACATTTAAGAGTTCTAAGTTTTTAGTATGAATTTCGACTAAGTCGAAGATTGTTCGGATTTCAGAGACTTTATTACTTTGAGTAGGTTGAATGTTGAGAAGAGCATCCATGTGAGCGCTTATCATCACTTGTTCGTCTCCAAATCTTTCTTTAAGAATTTTAATTGCAGTTCTATAATTTTCACCTGTTATGGCTAAACCTTGGATTGAAAGACTCGCATTTCCTTTTAAGAGACTTTTGAGGTAACTGAATTTAGAAATGTCATTTTTCTAAATTCAATTACCTCATTTTTCTAAATTCAATTACCTCAAATATTCAATGTAATACTTGGTTTGAATGGATAGCACTATCAAAACTGTCCCAAAATGATTGAAAGGTCATTGGATCGTTACTATACTTGGGAAGTGTCAGCTTGGGCAGTTTGGCAGAGATTGAATATTTAGGTTTGGAAGCTGGTTTCTCAATATGGAATGAAGATTCATTAAGATTTTGTTTAAGATACTTTTCGATGCGTATAGTGGTTTTTAAAATGTACCTTTGAAAGTCTCCAGATTCGTTCATATCCGTGCAAATCTCATCATCATCTTCCAACAACTCACTTATTTTATCGTTAAGATTTTCTATAACTTTCATTTTTATGTTCAACAGTTCCAAGTTCGTATTTAAGTCAGTTTCCACATCTTCACGATTTTCGCTAGACTCAAGTTCCTTATCTAATAAGATATTCGTTTCTTCTATAATTTTTGATGCATACATTTTATGCATCCTTCTTGATTTTTTCATCGATTTTAGTTGCATATCCATGTTTTAATTTATCAAAATAGTTATTTTATTATGAACTTCCAATTAAGATATAAATAAAAGTTTCGGCACCATATGTTGGTTCCCTGTGCAGGGGCGGATCCAGAGGGGTTCAAAGAGTGCTCCAGCACCCGTCAACTTTTAACAAGTTAAGTTTCCTATTTCGTTGCATTTTTTTTATAAATAAAAATTGAATTGTTAAAATAGTTTATTCAACTCAAAGTTTGCGATTTAATTTTTTGTGAAGGAAGTCAAAAATAAATAAATAATTATCTTTGTTGTTGTGTAATACTTTGCGTTCAGCGCTTGCGTATTTTGTGTATACTTATGCTTCGACTAGGAAACTCCAGTATAGTCGCTTTTTGATTGGCCTGCTCCCCTCAGAATTATTTTTGATTGGCCTGCACCCCTCAGAAGCTATTTTTGATTGGCTTGGTTTCTTAAGCTAATCAAAACAGGTTCTGAGGGGTGCTGACCCAATCAGAAAGATCTCTGAAGGGTGCAAGCCAATCACGCAAAAATCAGAAAAAAGGTTTTTCACTAAGCTTTTTGTTAACTCGTAGGTTAAGTGTTCTAAACATGGCGGATTCAATGCTTCGAATCATTTTAAAATGTATTTTAGATGAAAATAGGGTTCAATCAGAAAAGGAATCGTTTTTATCTAATGTTATTGTCGAAGCTCATAACAAGATTAGAGAAATATTTTTGTTTAATGAAAAATCTAAAGTAAGTATATTGAATAAAATATGCAAAGTTTCAAGTAAGCAGTATCCCGTATCTCAATCATTTCGAGCAGAAAGTGATTTTCAACCAGTGAGGTAATAAGTTGTTTCTTAAATAATTATATTAAATTAAAAAAACAAAAAACAAACAAAGTGTTTATGTATGTGTGTGTTGTGTTGATTAATGATTAAAATAATAGCAAATTAAGAAATCATATATAACCGGCTTTAAATGATTTCTTAATTTGCTATTATTTTAACCATTAATTAACACAACACACACACACATATTTTGTATAGCCTACACACACACACATTTTGTTTAGCCTATACTATAGGATATACAAAAAGCTATTCTATAGCTTTTTGTGCCTAATATTTTACTACAAACTTTTTTATTTAAGCTGAAAGATGTGTAAAATTTTGTTCTAGGTGCTTAAATTTTAAAAACTTTTTTTTAAGTAAAATTGTGTTCATCCTTAAGTATATATACTTAAGCATAAACACAATTTTACTAAAAAAAAAAGTATACAAAAAAGTATATAATATCATATTTCACATAATATCATATTTCAAGGAGAAAATAATCATTTATGTTATAATTTTTTTTATGTTTGAATAATACCAAATTTACATTTAGTAAATCATTTACTAGTAAGTAATTTTATGATATAAAATTATGTAATAATTATTTTGTGACATAACATAGATTATGTTGCTTCGCTTATATTAATTTTTTTTTTATTATTAGAACTTCTCCAAACGGAAACTGTTTATTTAATGCTTGTTCTATATCATTGATTGGCAACGAATCTTTGTCAGAATACCTTAGATGCCTGACCAGTATCGAATTATATACAAATGTAGGTTTTTATTTAAACCATCCAATTATTTTTTCTCAAACTGATGTTACCAAATCTCGAAAAATTGATGAAAACACAGCTTTTTCTAAAAAAGACCTCTAATATATTTATAAACAAAGATCACTTTGTTCCTTTAATATCTTTAAAATGTATTCCTAAAAAATACCAAGCTCCTAAAATATTTGCACCTAAAGTAGTAAAATTACCTGAAATTAATCAACTTACTTCTTCGAAATCTAGTATCCTGTTTCCTGATTCTACTCAGGAAACAGATATTTTAGATTCAGTTAAAATTCTTTCAACTTTTAAAAAAATAAAACAACTCACAATTGATCAATTTGCTATTAAGTCACCTTTTCCTACAGACAAAAAAATTTGTGTTATATCTTCGCCAATCAAATTAAAAAGTTCTACCACATTATCGATTGCAGAATGTTCTTCAAAATATATACACTCACCGATTAAGGCAAATTTAAACTCTAAAAGTAGTTCTTCTGCTTTTGGAAATAAATGTGAACTATCTTTTGTAAACAAATACGATATCGGGCTCTATGAAACTTATGGAACTAATAAACTAGGCAATGAAGATAAGTATGATTTACTAAAAAACGTTTATAAACCAAGCTCTAGTTTTCATTTTGAATCCAATAAATCAGGTCGTTCCTTTCAATTCTCTTGGCTCTCATTATACTCTTGGCTTGCATATTCAGAAATTAAAAAAGATGCTTATTGTGTTAATTGTGTTATTTTTGGATCTGAAGAATCAAGTCATAATGCAAGTAAACTTGTTCAGCTTTATAAATCTCCATTTGTGGCATATTCAAATGCCATTAATAAGTTTAATAAACATGCTGAAAGTTCACCAATTCACCAAACTGCAACTCTAAAGGCAACTCATTTTCGCCAATGTATGGAGCAAAAGATAAATTTTATTGACTTAAATCTCAAGAAAGTAATTGATGAACAAGTCAAGAAAAATAGAGAAATATTAAAATCAATAGTTCTGGCAATTATTATGTGTGGAAAACAAAACATACCTCTCCGAGGTCACAGAGATGATTCATTTTACTATGAGAATGAAAATAGTAACTCTGGCAATCTTCAATCAATTTTGAAATTAATATCTGATTGTGCAGAAAACAGTTTGGTGAATGGGCGAATTTCTACTCCAAAAAATGCTACATATCGCTCTAAAACTACTCAAAATGAGTTGGTTAATATTTGTAATGACATAATAAATTCTAAATTGAAATGTGAAGTTAAAAAGGCTAAATTTTTTTCAATATTAGCAGATGAAGCATCTGATGTGAGCAATATGGAACAAATGCCACTTGTATTACGCTTTGTAAATGATAATTGTGAAATTTGTGAACTACTTTTTGGTTTTATTCCTTGCGACTCAGGCTTGTCTGGAGAAGCTATAGGCAGCCAAATTTTGAATAGTATTAAAGATTTGGGATTAGAAATGAAATTTTGTGTTGGTCAAGGTTATGACGGTGCTGGTAACATGGCTGGGAATTGTTCCGGTGCTGCAGTACGAATAAAAGCTATATATCCAAAAGCATTATATGTTCATTGTGGATCTCATGTCCTCAATCTTTGTGTTGCAAATGCCTGTAACATACAGATAGTTAGCAATATGATGTCAAATGTTCGTGTTATATCTCAGTTCTTTAATTTTAGTCCAAAGCGTTTTGATGTTCTGAAAAAAAAAATTTTAAGAAATGTTTCCAAAAGCTCATCACTCTCGTTTAATAGATGTATGTCGTACAAGATGGATTGCCAGAATTGATGGTTTAGATGTGTTTATAGAGGTACTTCCTGCTATAATTAAATGCTTTGAGCTAATGATTAATAACGATGAAAAGTCTTGGAATCATGACTCAGTGCGTGATGCAAATAGTTATTTCTTTGCTACTAGATCTTTTCAGTTTCTTGTTACTTTAGTAGTGGTGTCTCGCAGTTTGGAAGTAACAAGATTAATTACAAAACAATTTCAATCTCCAAACTTTGATGTTTTTGCATCGCATGAAAAAATAAATTTGTTACATCTTGCTTTACAGCGACTAAGATCAGACATTGAACACAGTCATGGCTTGGTATAGTGAGGCAGTTGTATTGGCAGCTAGTGTTGGTGTTTATGAGCACAAGCCTCGTACAATAGGAAAACAGCTTAATCGAAATAATTGTCCTAGTGAATCTATTAATGAGTATTACAAGAAAGTCATTACAACTCCTTTTCTTGATCATTTATCATCCCAGATTCAATTACGTTTTTCTAATAAAAACATTGCTGTTTATAATGGATTCTTTGCAATGCCAACTAACGTTTTAAATGTTGCTGAATGGAGAAGCAACTTTCTTCTTTTTTCAAATGAGTATGAGGATGAAATTCCGGAACCACGGTATATGATGACCGAATTGAACATGTGGGAAGATTATTGGCGTAGCTTTAAAAATTCTCTTCCTACTTCTCTGACCAAACTCCTTCCTCTTATTGATAGAATAACTTTTCCTAATATATCTACCTTAATTCAAATTCTTGCAACTATTCCAGTAACAACATGCACTTGCGAAAGATCAATCTCTGTTATTCGTCGTTTAAAAACCTATCTACGTAACACAATGTCACAGAATAGATTTAATAGTCTTGCTTTAATGCACGTTCACCAAGATATCAGCATCGATGTAAATGAAGTGATTGATTGTTTTGCTAGGAAAAATCCTCGTAGAATGAAACTTGTAGATATTTTAAATTCTGATCCAATTTAAACTGTTTTATTTAATAATAAATATATTATTTACTGTTTTATATATTTTATTGAGTAATTTAAATAGTGGTCCTAGAAAGTTCTGAAAGTTCTAGAAAGTTTTTTTTGTATTTTTTAAGCATGAAATTATACTTCAAAAAATATATATTCAGTAGAATCTTGTTAAGTCTGATTCTCAAGGGAAATAGATAAATAATCAGACTTGGCGAATGTCAGAGTTAGGGGAAGCTCTCATTATGTTATAGAAAGCTCAATAGGAATTGAAAAGCTGACTTAGTAAAAGTTTGAGTTATCAGACATAGTTATAAAGTTTTCATTATTAATAAATTAGCATTATTGATTGTTATAATTATAGTTTAATTAAAATTAGAGTTAAATTATAACTGGATTTAAAAATAAGTCTGTTCTTACATTTTTATTTATATTTTTGGGGAATATCCTTGGAAAATAAATGGCTCCAGAATATCATGAAACTCAGAATATTTATTTTATTACTGTTACATAATTTTGTTTATAAACAGTGTTATATAATGTTGTTAAATCTATTCACTATTATTGATGTATTTAGTGTAAGAGTTTATTATTATTGTTATTATTTTTGTTATAATTTATAAATAATTATCGTGTATAATTATATATTTTATATATCATAGTATTAACTATTTTTAATAGTGAGTTTTAATACAATTGTGTTATAATTGCAATATAATGTGCATGACACAGGTGTTTTTAGAAGTTAAACTAGATGGTTACTTGTTTTATTTTCAAGTTTCTGTTTAAAGATCATATTAGAAGCAAATTTTGAGTTCCATTGAAACTAGATTTTTATTAACAGTTTTTTTTATCAGTTTTTCATTTTGTAACTATTTTACTATTTTATTTTAGTTTTCCTACTGTTGAAATATGGTTTTAATTTAGTAAAGTTTCATGATTTGAAATTTACTTTATTAGTCATAAGCTAACAGTTTAGAAAAGGAAATTTAGCACAGTTAGGGTAAGAAATTTGTTTACTTTTAACATTTCAAAACTGGGTTTTACTGTTCAATTCTTATGCTATTCCTAGTTTATGTTAAATGTCATACGAATAATAAACAAATTGTGTGTTCATTGTTTGGGGTCATGAAATTATTGTATCATTATTGATTGATTCTTTATATAACGGTCGATCACTGCCAATATATAGTTGCTGCATTACTTTGCATACAAAATATTTTTATGTACACAAAATTACTTTCGGACTGTACTCTAATAAATAGGAGGGTCGGAAATTTTTCTAAAATATAATAAACGGGGGAGAGGGGGTTTCTTAATAAACCGAAGGGTCGGAATTTTAAAAAGCTTAAAATAGTTTTTTTGGTTGGTTATTCATATTTTCATCTATTATTGAGAGAAATATTTTTCTCAAAGTAAAAAAATAGCAAAAATATTTTATATTGTTTCAAATTATTAATCAAGGGGGGGGGGGGGGAATTGGGATCCTAATAAGCTCCGGGAGGTCGGAAAAAAATTCCCGCTGGGGGGGGGGGGTAATGAAAATACCCCCTCATCGTCGCAGCACAACACATATTTGCCAGCACCCCTCAAAAAAAAAAAGCTAGATCCGCCCCTGCTGTGATTGCTTTGATTATTTAGACTGAATAGATGTTTATATTATCAAAATGGCGGAATACGCCATGCTTTCCTTTTAGTATAATATATCAGAATAATAAAGACATAAAACGGGTTGGCGAGAATATTAGAGCTCTCCATCGGAGAGATCTAACAGATGGTATTCTTCAAGTTTAACTTCTTTAGAAGTAGATTTTTGCAATTTGTGTTTATTTTTTTTAACTTTAGTTAGAGTTATTGTTAGTTTTTAAAATTTTATAAAATTAGAGGTAAAAATTGCATAATAAGTCATCTTGCCCCGGTCACGTGACCAGATGACAAATTTATGAACTTTTTATTTTATTATTTATTTCAAATTGCCATGATTGGAAACAGAAAAACCATGCAAAAAAAACGGCTTTACTATTTGTCTAATAAAATCCCGCAAGTTAGACATCTAGTTATATAATATATCATTGGGTTAGACATTATTTCTTAGCGTGCACAACTATTTTTTTATTTATACGCATATATTTATTATTAATTGTTTTGACTATTTCACCTGAATTCTAGAGATTTTTAATAATTATAAAAATAAATCACACTGTAGTGTAATTTAATTTTATAATTTTTTTAAATATGAATTAAATCAATTTATAAACCATATTTAAGTAAGTATTAAATACTTTTCGTTAAAATAAAAAACACCTGCCTAATCCAAAGCCTTCAATCAATGTATGTTCATTTCACTGTGCTTATCTCTATTCAAATCAATCGATGTATGCAGGGGATGGTACAGTGGATTGAGCGGCACAGTGAATAAGAGCAATATCTCAAAGATAAGAATTTTGTTCATCTTGATAATGGTATCATTTTATGTGCTCATATACCAGTAATCTTTATCTATAGATATTACTACATAGTTCTTGACTACTGGTGTTTGGTAGGTAATTTTTGTTTTTAGTTAAATAGAGTAAATTTTCTTACCTTCCTTTTGTTTGTAATGAAGATCATGGTTGAAATATTTTTAAAAGTTTAAGATTTTTGTTCCGACTATTAATATTTATTCTTCTTTATAGTAGTTTTAGCTTTTCCTTTAAAAACACTTTAAGAAATTAAACTTAAACTTAATTTGTTATGGTGGGAATAAATGAATCGGTTTATTTACCCCTAAAATGGTCTTAAAGAACAAATTCATGCATTTGTAACAAACAAACTACATGAAAATAAATGAAATATTTTTAAGTAATAAATTGAAAAGTATAGCGTTTAATGTCTTTTCTCCTTTAGCCTCGAAGTTATTTGGCTATGCACCTACTTAAAAAATAAAGAAATCCGATCCACAGTGCCCTAACTTGCCCTAAACTCCGCTGCAACTACCGCTATAAAAGTCGGTTAATGTACGCACTCAGGCACTTATTATATAAAGCTTTGAAAAAAAAATTACAAACAACAAAACTAGTTTAAAAAAGCATAAAACTACTTTAAAATAAACATTATTTTGAATGTAACATACGCATTACTACGCCGCTATCTTACATGTTTAAAAAACTAACGTATTAATTCTTTTTTTAGCCTGCAAATGATGATTATATTTTTGGCGCATTATTTTTAAGCACGTAAAAATAATTAAAATCTTTTCAAACACGTTAGATTTTCATTGTTGTGCAAAATGCGTTTTTATTTCAGGATTTTTACGGGATGTTTCATTAATCTCTAAGTTGTTTCTAAAGGGTGTTTTTTTTTAGAGGTATAGAATTTTAAATTGCAATAAAACAACGATGGATTATTCGATTGACAAGAATTTTTTTTTATTAGAAAGATAATCTTGTGGAATTACATTTTAAATATAATTTCTTGCATACGACCGCCACGGCTGGTTCGGATGTAGTTCAATCTGGACGTCCAGTTTTCGAAGACTTTTTCCAACATTTGTGGCCGTATATCGGCAATAACACGGCGAATGTTGTCTTTCAAATGGTCAAGCGTTTGTCGCTTATCCGCATAGACCAATGACTTTACATAGCCCCACAGAAAGTAGTCTAGTGGTGTTAAATCACAAGATCTTGGAGGCCAATTCACAGGTCCATAACGTGAAACTAGGCGGTCACCAAACGTGTCTTTCAATAAATCGATTGTGGCACGAGCTGTGTGACATGTTGCGCCGTCTTGTTGAAACCACAGCTCCTGGACATCATGGTTGTTCAATTCAGAAATGAAAAAGATTGTAATCATGGCTCTATACCTATCACCATTGACTGTAACGTTCTGGCCATCATCATTTTTGAAGAAGTACGGACCAATGATTCCACCAGCCCATAAAGCGCACTAAACAGTCAGTTTTTCTGGATGAAACGGTGTTTTGACATACACTTGAGGATTATCTTCACTTAAAAGGCGGCAGTTTTGTTTGTTGACGTAACCATTCAACCAGA